GCTAAAGAGACTGGGACTTCTCAGCTTAGAAAAGAGGAGATGGAGGGGGGACAGGATAGAGGTCTCTAAAAGCAGGAGTTGGGTGGAGAGGGTGCATCCAGAAAAGTTCTTCATTAGTTCCCATAAAGAAGGACTAGAGGACACCTAAGGAAAGGAATGGGTAGCAGGCTTCAAACTAGTAACAGAAAGTTCTTCTTCACAAAGCAAAGAGTCAACCTGTGGAACTCCTTGCTGCAGGAGGCTGTGAAGGCTACAACTAGAACAGAGTTTAAAGAGAAGTTAGATCAAGTCATGAAGGTTGGGTCCGTGGAGTGGTATTAGCCAGGGGGTAGAAATGGTGTCCGTGCCCAAAGTTTGTGGAAGGCTGGAGATGGATGGCACGAGACAAATGGCTTGGTCACTGTCTTTGGTCCATCCCCTCCAGGATATCTAGGGTTGGCTACTGTCGGCAGACAGGCTACTGGACTAGATGGACCTTTGGTCTGACCCAGTACGGCCATTCTAAGCTCAGGGCTCATGGTCGGGGGTCTCAGTGGACCACCTTGATTTTCATGCAAACCTGCTCCTGGGTGGCCAGGCTGGCAGCTCCTCTGCCCTAGACGGCCACTTTCCTGTGCCTAGTGCAGAGTTCGTGGACGAGGTCCACGATGTCTGCACTAGACCAGGTGGGTGCCCACCGCTTCCGGTCCTGGCCAGGCTCCCAAGAGCTGCCAGCCTGGGTCGGGGGTCTCAGTGGACCACCTTGATTTTCATGCAAACCTGCTCCTGGGTGGCCAGGCTGGCAGCTCCTCTGCCCTAGACGGCCACTTTCCTGTGCCTAGTGCAGAGTTCGTGGACGAGGTCCACGATGTCTGCACTAGACCAGGTGGGTGCCCACCGCTTCCGGTCCTGGCCAGGCTCCCAAGAGCTGCCAGCCTGGTCCCGGGAAGAGGCGGAGGGCTGGGGGGTATCGGGTGGCTGGCTCATGGCGTGCCAGGTGCAGGGTCTGCTGGCTGGGTGCTGGCAGGCTTGCACCTGGCACGGGCACGGGCACCGTAGCCAGCCCGTGCCCCTTTAAGGGCTCCGGGGCCGGGAGGGGGGCATACGAGTTTCCCTGGTGGTGCCCAGAGTGGCCACCAGGGAAAGCTGGGGAGGGCTAGCTTCCCACTAGTTTGAAATAAGGGGATACACAGCCCTTAATTGGAACTAGTAAGTTTGAACTAGGCTAACCTCGTGCAATGAGGTTTACCTAGTTCGAACTAAGCGCTCAACTAGTTCGAATTAAGTTCGAACTAGCGGAGCGCTGGTGTAGCGCCTATGATAGTTAATTTAAACTAAAGTCCTTTAGTTCGAATTAACTTTGTAGTGTAGACATACCCTAAGGTACTAAGAACCCCTTCGAAATTATGCCTTCAAAGAAGCAGAATTATAAGTAATTTTTCCTTTTCTAAAAATACCGTTTAGAAGGAATTTACTCTTTTCTCTTAGCTCAAGGATAGCCTGTTAAAGAGTTGAGACCCACAAGTTGAAAGCCATGTATGTCCAGAAATGGCATTATAGGCAAATAATGATTCTTTCTTCACTTTGTGAAAATTCTTCTAATGCTTTTTGACGTTGCATAACCAAAACTACACAAACAAAAGACCCTTCTGGCCTGACCTAGAAACTTATTTGTTTTATTGAAAGAGAAAAAGGATGATCATAGGCATGTGCACGGGCTGTGCCCATGCACACCCTAATGTCTCAGGCCGGCTAGAAGGGGATTTGTGATGAGGCGCCGCAGTCCCTCATTTTAAATTCCCTGCGGCCATCTACAGGGCACAGTGGGGCAGAGAGAGCGCATGCGCGGCATCCTCAAACGCCGTGCAACAGGTGAGAGGGGAGACGCCCGGGCGTGGTGTGATGTCAGATCCAGGACTTTAGAACCACGCTGCCCAGCTCCAGAGGCAGCTGGGGCCTGACTACACACGCTGGCCCGAGCTATTTTTGCGGCTC